GAGATAAGAACAATAATAAGAACAAGCAAAATGAGCTAATCTAATCTAGATAAGGCTGCTGTTGCCGAACTGGGTAGGATGAGCATCACTGAATCCTTGCTGCTGCTAGCGGTGGGCCCGGGGCCTGTTGCTGCCGGCGGCGATGGTACGTCTTCCCAAGAAAGGCGTCCATAACATCAACTTTCTGGTTTGGACGATGGCACTTGATAAATGCCTCTAGAGTTAATCTGGTGAGAAGGGGCATTCAGATTATGGATCCTTCATGTAGTCTTTGTGGGCAACATGCTGAATTGACAGATCATTTATGTATTCAATGTCCATTTTCCTCTCAGATTTGGGGATACTTTCTCAGAGTCTTGGAGTTCAGTTGGGTAATGCCTAGATCGGTTAAGGATCTCCTCGGTTGTTGGAAGGTGAGAGGCCTTAGTAAGAAAAGGAGCCTGGTGTGGAGGACTATTCCTGCTGCTGTCTTATGGTCCATTTGGGCTGAGAGGAGCAGTAGAATCTTCAGTAAGAAAGGCAAAAGTCCTGAAGATACCATTCAAAGAGCTGTGGGCAAACTGATTTCTTGGATATCTGTATCTGAGGAATTTAAAAATCTGAATTTGTCTTCTTTTTATTGTTCTGATTTCTGGTGGAAAGTGTAATTGCTGTGGTCTTCAGGCTGCCTGGTGTGTCTGGAAGCTTGTCGTTAAACACTTCGGAACACCATTTTAAACATTTATAAATTTTTCTGATTCTCAAACAAATACTAATGCAGTAAATGGGTGAGAACGGGTCGTATCCATAGGGAAGCGAGGGAAAATTAATATACACTCAAATTCGGATAAGTGAACACAAGAGGGAAGTGCAGAAATATAAAAATTAATTAATTAAACTGAGAAAAATATATAACTCGAACAGTACTGAAAGTTAAAAGTGCAGAAACATAAATAAATACAGAAATAAATTAACAAAAGAAACGAAATAGAAATCTGTAATCCAATCAGAGGTAGCAGTTTTCGGATCCCTCCTTTGACCCTTGAATTTCTCGAGCTAGGCCTTCCGTCTTACCTAGCCGAATTGCAGATCTGCAGAAAATAAAACGAAGATCAAACGGAATGAAAATAAATTGTAGAAAGTAAATAACGAAACTGAAAATGCAAGAACAAAAATTAAAACTAAAACTAAAGAGACTGGTTGGGATTCAAATCCAGAGGTGGCAGTAGTGGTGTTGGCGTGAAAGTAGGAACCCCTCCTCTTGCCTGGGCGTCCTCCTCTTCCTCTACCCTTGAACTTCTCAAGATCAGCCTTCCTTCTTACTTGGGTGAATTGACCAACCCCTCCTACAGGGCCCCTAGGGTCCTTTTTATAGAGAAGGGTGGACACAACTGGGAATAGAGAGA